CAACTAACAAGGAGGTTATGGTCAATATCCTATGGCCTTGATGTGCTGGGCAGGGAACCAGGGTGACGTGTTGCCTTTTCCAGTTATTTGACTAATGCCAAAATTTGTGTGCTTTGTAAGAGCTGTATTGACCAAAGCCCCCTATCCCTTCTCTTGAAGGGATAGTTTGCAGAGGATGTGCATGGATGTGCTTGGTGCTCTTAGCCCTGTAAGAATGGACAGGCTCAGGCCTGGGCTGAAACCTGGGAACTGGGACTCCTCCCATTCTATCTTGCACACATTACTTTTGTGTTCTCATCTGGCACCTAGCCCCTGCAGGGAAGGGAAAGTCCTCGTGCATTGTCAGGGAGCGAAGAAGTCTGCAGGTATATTAATGGAGCAGCTTGATTGTAACTTTATTTTTTTAAGCTTGTTGAAAGAACAAATGCAATGTCAAAAAAAAAAAAAGCGCAGTTAAAACGTGGAAATGCCTGGGCTGGGTGCCCACCTTGGCAGTTTAAACAATCTGCTTTGGGTTTCAGAGTTGAATCTCCTGGGCAAGGCAAAAGACATGGGGCAGGTAGGAAGAGGCTTCCTTCCCCACCTAGCACCAACTGGATCAGGATATAATGCTGGGCATATGATGGAGCAAGATGCACTGTACTTAATGTAGCATGGCTGCATCAGTCTGCTTTATGTTCAGGGGCATATTTTGCAGAGAGGTTGAGGGCTGCTTGAACTTTGCAAATTCAGCAGAAAGCTCTTGAGCATCCAAATTTGTCTGAGAGAGACTGGCAGGTGGGACATCTTGTTTCTGAATAAAAAGGAGGCTGATCACGAAGCCTTTCACCACTGTTCATGAGTGTGTTAATTCTGATTCATTGTAAACTAATTCACAAATTGCACCAAGTTGGGTGAGAATTTCCCTGTAGTAGGATTTTATAGCCCCAAGCACTGGCTGTTGAATGTTCACTATCTTTAATCCGAGGAAGAGCTTACAAGGCCAGCCCTTCTAGCTGATTTATTGACATTAAGTACAATGTACCTCTCCAAGTTACATTGTTGTACTGCAGTAACTGAAAGTTTTGAACATCTTTATACACTACACTTGTATAGGTTTTATAAAATTCCGTAATCTTAATTTTAAATAAACTCAAATCACCCTAATCATTGTAAATCTGGAAAATCTATGTCTTTTCTTATGAAAGAACACATCATATAGGTTGTAGGATGGTATGAACAGGAAAATATCTACTAAACAGTTGGGAGGAAAAAAGATTGCAAAATAAAGCCCATCTGAAATTCAGCCTTGACATAAATACTCAAGTGTCAGAGCAGTCTAGCTCCTAGCTAGACCATGCCCCAGAAAATACCTTTCATCTTCACACACCTATTACTGTTTAACGTAAAACAGTTGAAACGTTTTGCATTCATTAGGGGCTCAAGTGATAGCTTGGGAAGAACCATTTACTTTTTAGACACAAAGAATCCTCAATTCTTAAACTTTATCTCCATGATAAAATAATGGTGTGCTTTCAGCTTGTACAGGTGCATCCCTCCCAGCTGTGTTCTGGTTTGCACACATCCTGACTCCAACATGGAGGGGTGGTGGGCTAGCCCATGTGAGGGATGGGCACAGTAGGGATTGGGTTCATTCATTGCTCCCTGGCAGGTTCTGTAGCTGAGGCTACAGTGGCTATTTGCTGGTGTGGCTGGTTAGGTTCAACAGGAGTCTTGCACTTGCAGTCTTGGCCCATCTTCCCTCCTTAAGTGAGTGGTTCTCCATGGATGGGGTCACTGATGGATTTGCAGGTTTTGGTAAGATCCATAGATGTGTTGCTAATTGCAGGCTCCAGCCCAGGCTTTTCTTTCAGGTGCAGTGTTCAGAGCAGCTCTCTCCAGTGGGAATGTGGTTATTTGTAGCTGTCCACCTTTGTCTTCCACGTGGTCTAGGTGCCACCAGAGTCATTCCAAGCAGCTGCCTGCTGGCATCAGTTACACAGCTGGAACAGCTGGGGTTGTCCTGGCATGGAAGGATACCTGACAAGACCAGGGAGCTTACCTGTGCATAGCCTCACTCAGGATGTTGGGTTTTCTTGGCATATGTTAAAATACAATGTATTTATCTCTTTTAGTTATGGAGGACTTTGCTACCCCTCTGTCACGTTTAGCTGAAATTGTCCAGAAGATTCCACAGATGTGGAAAAGGAAGGGGAATGCATGTGCACACACAAATCTCATTTCTTAAGAGAAACCCTCCCTTCTATTCAAATGGCCTTACTTAATAGAGAAGTTTTCTTAAAGTGAGCCCAGTTTTTTTGGCTGACTGCTTTGGATATAATCTTTGAAATGATTGACTATGTTAAATCATGACAATTAGGTCTGACCATTAACCTCCCACAGAGTTGATTACGGGGATGGGGTGATGAGGAAGTTTTTTATTTTTCTTAGTGCTATTGTTTCAGTCTGTTTGCAGAGTAAATACAATGAGTGTGTCGGTTGATTACACTGCAGACCATCTCTCAAGCCAGAGGAGACGGCTATTTAGTTCTGAAATGTGAAAACTTGTGTTTTAGAGAAAACTTGCTCTGCAGAGGTGCTGGGAAGGCTCTAGGTCTATGCACCTGTGCCTTTCCAGCCATCTCAACTGTTTACTTACTGAGTGACTGTTTCTAGAGTGTTTATCCCCTTTACTTTAGCTTCTACCCAACACAGTCATATACATACCTCTGAGAGACTGCACTCTGGTCATTTCTTTTAAGGTTGTTTCAACTAAGTTAGCAGCAGAGATTGACTCCTCCCCTCCAGCATTTTTATGGACAAGCCCATCCCAGCCCTTAGAAGATAGGTTTTTGAAGGGCATCTTGCCTTTAGTGCTCATAAATTGGTTCTGTGGAGGGCTGTGAGTGCTCCCAGTAACAAAAGGCAGTTATTGACTGTAAGGGAAGATTGCTACAGGAAGAAGGGCGAGTGGTATTTTGTGCATTGCAATGGGCAGCCGCCCATGCGGTGAAACAGCCCGGATTTAGCTGAAGGGGAGCTTTGTTGAGGAAAGGAGAATCCTTGCCTGGAATAATTGCTTCTGAGCCAGGGAGAATTGACTACTCCAGAGTGGGAACAGGCCTTCAACTACCTCTGGCACAAATAGTGGGGCTGTTGCAAATCTGATTTGAGTCACTAACAATAAGGCATTGAAAAGGCAAGCAGACCTAGTAGTTCTCTCTGTCTTTCCCTGGGCTCCTAATTTATGCTCAGCTTCACTTGCTGAAGCAGGCCTGTTACAACACATATATATGTGGAAACACGAAGGACAAAAGTCTTTAGAAGAGGCAGCAAAAGGTCAGGCAGAAAGGTCCTCAGGAAAAAGAAAAGGAAAATTCTAAAAGTCCAGTTATTTTAGGTGAAAGAAAATTATAATCTGTACTGTAACTGTTGGCTGTATTTTCTGATAGAAAGCTACAGAATGCTCTCTTCCCCCATGGAGCTCATATAATTGTGCTCTGTGTACCAGATGGATTATTTTGTTTTTCATTAAATAAAGAAACTTGTAAACAGTGCTCTGTACCGTAGAGATTATAATCTCCACCATCCCCCTCCTCTTCCTTAAACACTGGAGCACGCACTTTGCAGGTTGGACTCAGACCACAGCGGAGTTCCTGGCGAGGCCCCAGCCTGCTGCTGATCACTGCGGCTTGGGGGCCGGGCAAGGCGCGCTCCCGGCGTCCGAGAGCATTTACTGCGTGGGTTCAGTTGTGCTTTTATCAAATCCTATTTCTGAAAACAAATAAAAGGCTCGTTTGCACAGTGTTTGAATGCCACTCTCTGTGCAACAGTGGCGGTTGGTTGGGTTAGATCTGTGGAGCTGGCACTGCTGCAGGTAGGGCAGAGCAGAAAGAGGAGACTGAATAACGAACTGGTTTTCACGTAGAAGATGGCAAGAAATGTTTTACGGAGGTCACCAAGAATAACTGCTAGTTTCACCAATTAAGTCAGTATATTTAGTTATTCTGCCATCTTTGCAGCTTTCAAATTTTTAAGATGTAACGTGTTAAAAGTTTCATTGTGGTCCTTGTAACTTGAGCCACGATTCTTGACAGCACTCTTGCAACACCCACTAAGCAGCACACCCTTCACTCTATTATTTCTCTGCTTAATCCTGCTATCTTGTGTAATAGGAATGCAAACTTTTTTTTGCATAACTCTTCTATCCATAAATTTATTGAACAGTTCACAAAAGCAGGTGCTATTATCTTCATTTATGTTTCCATTATACTGGAAGTTTCAGCCATGGCTGTGGTGCAGCAGCTTCTCTCAGGGTGTACACAGGCACTGGTCAGTTTGTACCACTTTCAGGCTGGAGGAAACTACTCTGCTGCAAATCCCACTTGCTAATGGTCTTGTGTGTGTTACCATGGGTCTGTAACTAGATGTGGTGAGTGATAAAGTGTGAATTAAGACCAAATATGTCAACTTCTGTTCCATCCATTGGACCCATTGCTCATGTCCTGTTACGGAAAACCTCTCTGAAATTACTGACAAAGTGTATTCCAAAAGCAGAGAGTAGCTCAATTATAAGGTGTACCCAGTTATTAAATACTGAACTATTACTCTGTTTAGGTGAACCCTAGATTAGTATTAGATGCTTTTTCTTGGTTTTCATTCATGTCTTATGTCAGTTAAATGTTGGGTTATTTTCCCTAGCAAAAATACTGGGGAAAAATATTCTTATATTGTTACTTCATTTTTTTCCCAAATAGTCTTAAAATATTTTGCTAGCTCTGTCTGTATATTAGTAAAAATACATTTGAAATATTATCACAAGATCTGCACACATTTAATTTTTTTTGTTAAGTACTGAAGATACCTAATACTGATAAATATTTATGTCACCAAGTGTAATGCAGAGATGCTTGCTTGATGTAATCATATAACTTTAATTGAGCTATTTGATGTTCTTTACCATGCCTTGTGAATAAAGTAATCCCTTCCGGATCACAATTTTATTCTTCCTGTCTATGCAGTAACAAGCGACTTGTGGCCTTAGTGCCAAATGACACTTCATTCAACACCAGACGAGCCTACACCAGCGAAGATGAAGCCTGGAAGTCGTATTTGGAGAATCCCCTAACAGCAGCTACCAAGGCTATGATGAGCATAAATGGTGATGAGGACAGTGCTGCTGCTCTTGGCCTATTGTATGACTATTATAAAGTAGGTAACTCTGTCATTATCCCTCCCTGCTGCACTAGCAGGGACTACTCTAAGAGGCATCAAAAAGAGTCAGTTTTATAAGACAGAAGTCACTGCATCTTGTTTTCTTTCTGATACTTGCAACAAGCACCCGTTCCGTTATAGGCAGCGTGTCTGAATCTGTTTTGATGTGTTTAGTTCTAGAGAGAAAAAAAGAACAAAATCAGAACTCCCATGTTAAATTTTCAGCCATGTTTTCTTTTTGAGCATAGTGTTCTTCTTCTTCCCTTGAAAGAACATTGGATGAATTAGCCCCCTTTTTATTTGTGCTCAGATGCCTGCAATATTCTTAAAAAAGTATAAAAGGGGAGAGAAGCCTTGTCCATCTGTAGGTTTGTCTGCTTTTCTGGTTCATTCCACATGTGTTTTAGTTCACTCTTTATCTGGAGTATCTCTCATCTGACAGTTTTCCCATGTTATTTTTGTTTGTATAATGATTTCAGTAGGCTGTATACAAACATACAGTGAGGTATGCTAGTGAGGTCTAGCCCTTGCACTGCAAGTTTGCAGTCTAAATAGAAAGGTGGAGGACAGAAATGGAGCTGGACACAGAGACAGATCTAAGTCAATTTACAGGGGAAGCACTGACACACAGTTTCAGTTTATGTCAGGTTCTAAACCCTGGGCTTTACCTACCATTTCAGTAACTCCTTTTTTGTATATTTTATAGTGTTTAAGTAGACTTTGAGATTTCTGCTGAAATTGGAGAAGAATCCTACAGGGTGCATCTCTGTGTAAGGCACAAATATCACTCTGAAACCCATGCTGACCCTTTGGTACTCTCCAAATGGAATCAGTGTTGCCTCCCAAGCACTAGAGTATGAAATTGTTCATTTCACTTTAAACTGTCTCCTTACTCCTGAAGCCACCTATGGCTGCCTTGGACAGTTGATCTTCTCTGAAAGCCAGTACAGCAGTGCCAGCTCCTCTTGTAATTCATGAAGAAGTAACAGGAATGGAAATTAAAAACTTTTGCTTTTAGTACATTGCTATTAGTATAAATGCTTTTGGAGAATAGGTTCTTCTTAGTCTCTGCTACAGTAGTTAGATGAATGTTCAGGAGAAGGTGTTGTAGGCAAGATACCGTATACCAACCTTAAATATTGTTTTAATTTTTTTACTGATTATATTTCAAGAGTTGTTTCTTGCTTTTGTGTGTTCTTGTCAGTAAAGAAAAGCTTTTCCCCAGTGAAAAAGAAGAAAGGTCCTTTTCTCTACTTAGCAGAGTTATGATAGTGCCAGAATCTGTGAAATTAATGTGGATTCATAAAATTCAGGATGTATATGAACAGCTGGAGTATTGACTTCTGTCTTAGTAATACTTTTGTATAAAGTAGTTCATTAATCTGATAGATTTTAAAAATAAAACGAGAAAATAGCCCTTTTCCTTCTCAAAATTATGTTTTAAGAAACATGCTGTTCCTTGTTCCGGGCAGTTGCAAAAGACTTGAGGTTCAGATGGAATAAGATGAGATTAACATCTCAAAGCCATTTCCAGCATTCAGTCATAACTATTTTTGTCTTAAACTGGGAAGAAATGATAACTCCTGCTGATACTCTACTCTCAAACAGGAACTTAAAACCTAACCTCTGTACCATAATGTGGAAGTGTAAAGGAGGACTTCCAGTGCACCAGACTCTTGAATTGCCCTTATTTATTGTCTGGCTCATTTGTTCCGACATGCTGGATAATATTTTTGAAGTAGTTTTTCCAGTCAAAAGGAATTATTTGACCTTAACTGTTTAGTTTTTTTAACTTCTTCTATTTCTTATAGTGATATTTACGTAAACATAGACCCTCCTTCAGGGATAAATATGTGATCTTAAAAGGGGAATCAACATGTGCAAACTGTGGCTTTTATCCCAGTTCAAAAATACATGAAAGAGGATTTTTAACCAGCAGGATGCTTAATAGGGAGAGGGGATGTCCCTAAGAGAAGGAATGCCTCTGACTAGCACTCTCTGACTCTGCTGCTGTCTTGCAGATATAGTTGATATTATTGTTGGGTACTCTAGTTCACTGTAAGACTGTTTTTCCTCTAAATTCAGATATTTTCCTGATACTTCTTTTCTTTAAATGTTTAAAGATAAAAGGCATGGCTTTAGCCCATTCTTAGGTCTATTCTTGCTCTTTAAACTTGAGTTAACTGCTGTGATGGAGTGGGTATGCCCTCTTGTTCAAAATATAGAAGCTTTAGATCTCAAATTGCTGGTTCAGCAAGAAAAGAAAATATGGTCATGGCAGCAACTTTGCCCTTGGTGATTTCATATCTGTGCTGGTGTCAGGAAACCTGTATGTGGGAATACAAGTCTTTGAAGTCGCTTGTTGTCAATTCTGAGTCTCTCAAGCGGCCAGATTTGACTGGATTTTTACTTCTCATAGCTGTTGATGCACTCAACAGAGCAGAAGTCAGTGTTTCTGATGGCATGCTAGCGTGCCCTGACCTGTCCCCATATTAGGAAAGGGAAAGATTCACAAACTTTCCCTAGATATGAGTGCTACACCCTCCAGGCTGGTCTGTAGCAGGAGAACTTAGCTGGTGCTTATGGTTTAATTGAAAAATCTTTTTTGTCTGAGCTAAAATGGTATCCATGCAGAGCTCATCAAAGCATCCTATCTTTCTTCTCATCTTGTATTATTCAGTGAAAAGTGTGTGAATGTTTTTTGGAATATGAGCTTCGATTTTGAGATAGCTTGGCCTAGCTGGATGTTCCAAAGGACAATATAGCAGAGCACTTTGCTCCAGACTGGTGTGCCCAAGAACTAGAAAAGAAAACAATTCCTACATTTTTTCCCTTTGGAAATTTTCTTTCTGTTCACAATCAGTCTCCCAAAGAAAAGCAGCTCCTGGCACCTGTGACCTAGACAACACTTGTTGTTACATTTTCCTAATTGTTGCAGTAGAGCAATCTGAAGCTGCAAATGCCTGATAGTTGCATTTACCTGACCCCATGCCTGGTGTTGTTCTCAGGTTCCCAGAGATAAAAGGCTGTTGTCTGTTAACAAAGTGAGTGATAATCAAGAAGACCAAGATAAAAGGTACAGTATTATTCAAAATCATACACCCAGCTACTAACAGTGTTGATTAGTTGTGAACTGAAGGTACTGTGATAGCCTGAGGGTTTATGGTTTTCTTCCAAAAGTTAAAAGAATGAAGGCTATTTTGGGAAGCACACATTACTCCTTTTTACTTTTAATTTATTCAAAAAATTGTGTAGTATTATCCAACATGCAGTTTTCAAAGTAGCAGAGAGTTTCATTGTGTTTGGTTTTGTTGTTTTGCTACTGCTGAGATTAGTAAAATCAGATTATATTGACAGTTGGCTATGGGCTATTTTACTCTGTTTTCTTCTTCTAGGGCAAAAAATGAGTAGTTTGGCCTGAGTAACCTGATTTATAAAGTTTTATTTAACATAACTTAGGGTCTGCCCAGCAAATAAGGTAACTCTCTTAAAATCATCCACTTAGAATATTCTTCTCACTCCTCTCAGATTTCAGCTTTTCTCTGTAGGCTAAAAGTGACTTGATTCAGAGGAAGCTTCCTCCTGCCTTACTGCGGACAAAAAAAAGTGTATATTTATGTAGAAAGAACTAAGTTTTTACATACAGGAAGGTATCTTTATGTAGAATTGTGAAGGAGAGAAGCTACACAAGGTTTATTTCAATGTAGCTAATTTGTGACAGCCTTAGACGGTCTCCACTAGCTGCATAAGGTGAAAGTTTAAATAGGTAGTAGTATAAATTTACTGTTTCAAAATAGACTATGAAATGTGTTTTGAGGGAGAGTTTTTCTTCTATGAACACCAGAGAAATTCCTGAATTGAGTGTGATTGACAAAACTGGCCTTAAGTGAAAAGCCAAGAGAGAGGAACTGCAGTGTCAGACCATTTCTCCTGGTTTGAAAACAGCAGTGTTACACCTACTAAAAGTTTTACAAGTTAATAATGCTATGTCAGTGCAACTACTGTCAGAAATGAATTGCTTTCAACAACAGCTGTGGTTAGTTGTGGGAATGCTGCTGGAGGTTACCTTGCAGCCACTATAGTTACTGATCTACTCTGCTACAATGGGATTCCTGGGCTTGCTCTTTCAGAAGAGCATTGATACCAGAGTTACACAAACAGTAGTGGCCTGTCAACAACCTAGAAGAGCATACATCAGCGTGTGAATTTTGCTGTTGATATTCTGCCTATTTCATGTGCAAATTACCTACTGTGAGTAATCCATACCTTGCCTTACTCTTTATTCTTATTTTGTGTCTAAAGGCTGTTGCACTGCTGGACTGATTTTACATCCAAATTGTAAGCCAAGGCAAGAGCAAGCCCGGATACCCAGAATTTATTGTAACAAGCCTTACTCATTGTAGGTCAAACCAAATGTAATGTTTCCCTAACTGTAAAGAGCTCTGGACTCTCTGCTTGCTTCGCAATTTCTTTTGCCTAGTATTTGTTAATGTATTACTTCTTATGGCAGTGGCTTATCAGAATTGAAAGACCTCCTTCCCTGATATCTAAGAACATTAAGCTACTTGAGGAGAAGATTTACTGTGTCAGGACAGTTCATAACATTTTTTGGTTTTGTCTCACAGAAATTGTCTTAATACCACGGAAGCTCAGAGTAATTTAAGTGGGGGAGAGAACCGTGTGCAAGTCCTGAAGACAGTGCCAGTTAACCTTTCCTTGAACCAAGATCCTTTGGAGTCATCCAAAAGGGAATACAACACAAATGTGTCTGGGAGCTCAACACCCATCACAGGGACTGGAGTGACTGTGGTTAAAGCAGAGGAATTCACCCCTGTTTTTATAACCCCACAAACACACTATGCAAGAGGAGAAAACGAGGAGCACCGAGGGGTTATCTTTGAACCATACGAAGTGTCCAATATTGCTCCCCACACAAATTATCTCAAAGATGACCAGCGCAGTACTCCTGACAGTACCTACAGCGACACCTTCAAGGATGGAGGAACAGAAGTAAGTTTTTTACCTCAAATTACCATCTAAGACTCAATAAAAAGCTGTAAACAAGATACGGATATTTGAGCTTGTAAACAAGATAAGGAGATTTGAACTGTCCTCAAGAGCCATTAGAAGAACAGTGTTGCTTGTTTCAACAAATTCATTTCTGCTCCTTGCTGTGTTCCTGTCAGTCTGTGCTCTGATTACAGGGGAGCATCATGAGGCGCTTCAGAAGACAGTTTTAAAGATGTTTATTGGAAATTCTGAGAATAATAAATATTGATCTTTTTGTCTTTTGGGATATTGTGTCAAGTAGAGGATAGTTGCCATTCTGAAAGAAGATTTATTTACCATTAACAAGATCTGCCTTCAGACCTATTTGTAACAGTAAGAAATAGCAGCTGCTTTGTGATGGGGAAATTCTAGATGTTCTTTTGAAAGTGCAAATGAGCACTGTCAGCTCTGCTGCTGGATAAACCCAACTAATTTGTTCAGAAGCTGTCTGTTGCACTAAGCTGTATTCTGCAACACGGGCAAGTGAGAAAAAGTAGTTGCATTGGATGAGTAGAGGGGAGTGGAGAATATAACAGGCAAGGAAAAACTGCATATATATGTACAGGAATGAGGAGGAGAAGAGAGAAAAGGATCTTCCTTAAACTGTTTTACAGTTATGCTGAGTCAAAGTGATTTTACAGTCAGCTTTAGTATGGTGAGTACCCTCTGGCTGCTTTTGCCTGCTGCAGAATAATGCAAACAAGCTGGAAATGTAGAAGGGTAAAGACTATTTAAAGCTGACAGTACCTCTGCAAATAATTAGAGATGGTAAATCTCCCCTAGAGTTTGTCTCCTCCCAACTCTACAAAACTGTAAATGTAACAAAAGTGCAAGGCAAGCTACCTTAAGGCTGAGCTACTCTGATTGAGTATATGAGAAATTTACTGTGTGTTTGTTTATGTGTATTATAGAAAACTACATGGTCTTCACAAGCAATAGATGAGGATGTCTGGAGGTGAAATCAACTTTCAGATATAGAACACATGTAGGTCAACTAAATGAATAATTAATGAAGAAATCTAGCTTGCCATTGTAAAATCAGTAGGATCAAACCTTGAATTAGAGACAGTGCTCTACATTACACATTTTTTCAGCTGTTGATGTTACTGGTAAGTGGCTCTTCATTTGAGCCCGGTGGTGCTTACTCATGGCTTTCCCTGGGGTGCTGTAGCAGAGTGATTCCTTTACCTTGGTTTGTTCTGGGACATGTTGCTGAGAGGTTCCCAAACAGCCCATCTGTGCTGTGCAGAGAGCTATCAAACATGCAAACTTGTTTAATTTGGCTGTAAAAAGAGGCTTTACATCTGTATGTTGGCTTTGCATCCCGAACTCTGTGTTATGTTAATTTTGCTACAAAGGTAATATTTTGTTACATGCTTTTTAAAGTTATTGGTTAATAGCAGGGTACAGTACTTGTCATCTAGACTTTCTGTGCAGTCTGTGGAGAAAGAATCAGTTAAAATCCACTTGCCAAAAGCGAGTGGAATGGTTTGCCAGGTGCACTCACTCCTCTCCATCTTCACTTCCTCTTTTAACTGCAAAAAGGGAGACTGAACAACTGACTTTAGCTAGGTCCCCATCCGTAGCTGTTTGGTGAGGTGTATACCTCTGTTGGTGGCCTTTTAGCCCCAGATGTTCACATGAATGTGGCCAGGGAGCAGGAACAGCTTTTCCACCCTGCTGCAGCCTCGCTCCACACTGAGCCTGTCCCTTTATTTTTTCTCAATTACCCAAATACCAGGATGAGCTTTGTCCCTGCCATGTGTGCTCTGACTGCTTCTCCAGCCACGCACTGTTTCTGTAGGGACAGCTGGATGAAGCAGGTGTGGGGAGACCATAAAGTAAAATATCAAAACATACCAAAAGAAACGTGTGCTAAATTAGTGTTTAGAAGTAGAGTACAGTTGCACTTACTAGTTTTCCTAAGTGCTTGGAAAGTACTTCCTGAGTTGCTGAGGATGACTGAGTTCGGAATTGCTCTAATTCCTGCTCAATTTTAAAACACATTATGAATACATATTTAGAAATTGTTTCAAAGCATTTATGGAGTGGCTTAGTTCTGTTGTACTGAAGGAGTGCTGAGTTTTTATAGATCCCTGTGGTAGGGGACACTTCGGTCAATCTCTTGCTATGTTCTTCAGATACAATTGCAGCAATTATATAAATATACCATTCTCATCTCTTTCATATTCTTAGTTAGATGCGATTAATTTATTAGTCCTTTATAGTGTAAACACATTTTTTTGAGGTTGGGTAAGTAAATTATATATTTTTGACAATGTCAACCTCTAACCTTTATATAAAATGTGATTAGCATATTTATATTCACTCAATTTTTTAGGTATTTTAAGCTTTAAATGACTGATGATTTCTTCTGAGTTTTCCTTAAAAAAACATAATTATACTTCTCTTGGTATTTGCATTTTGATTGCATGAAACTATATTTAATTGGTTTTATTTTTCAGAAGTATCGGAGTGTGTCAGTGGGGGCTGAAGAATATATTTATGAACAAACAAGGTATGGCATAAGCTTTGAAATGTGTTGACTGGCATTATACAGGCATGTATTGAGGACAGGCTGTCTCTGTCCACTTTCTACCCTCCCTTTCTTCAGCCTGAGGTGCCTGCAGGGCTCCTTAATGCTGCCAGACATCACTGTCCCCTTGTTCTCTTGATCATATTAGTTTTCAGATCTGACCAGTTTATCTCTTCATCTATTACCTTTCCCTCAGTATTGTTTTACATTAGTAATTCCTCTGAAGCCCCACTGAGATATGTGAGATTAAAACTGTTTAGAGAGGTCCCCCAAGTAACAGGGCACAGCCTTGACAAACAGGTCATGAAATCTTTCCCACCTTTCAGGATGCAGAAAACAGATGTCCAGGATGGTTGAACTGGCTCCACCAACCTTATGTAATTCCCATCTTTACTCTTCCCTTCTGTTTTTTTTCTGGTTACTCCTAGTAGGTTTTCTGTCTTTTCATGCTGCTTGTTTTGGTACTTCATATTTACCTATAAAACAATATAAACAAAGTATCTATTACAAATCATGTAAAAAAACTTAAGAATTCCTAAAATATTTTTAGACAGCTTCAAAAATTTAAGCTTGAAAACTATAGTGTTCTCCCTCAGCACAGAAAAATGTATGTGCAGCATGGGCAAATGCTGCAGAGTCCCTTTAACCAATAAAGACTGTAATCACTTAAGTTTTTAAGCTGATGCTTTATTTCTTGCTTGTGAATGGTTCTGTTTATATCTGAGTGAGTACTCTCACTTTAGAAACAGGAACATGCCTACATATTTTTCCTGGATTAGGCATATGACTGCATCTGTGGTGAAGGTTCCTTATAGCCTGATCTTTCTTCTGAAGAGGATTAAAACAATCATTAACTGCAGTGAGCTCAGAACTGAGTCACTGTTTAGGCAGAACATATGTAATAGATATTTAGCAGATATCTAATAGATATCACTTACTACATGGAATATTTGTGAAGTTGAATCCTGAAGCATTGGTATTGTTAACAGTTCTCAGACATTAGGCCTTTCATGCCCAGGTCCACGTTAGAACAAAACCTCTGAATGTGCATTAAGAAATACAAAATATGTCTTTCCTGAAGTGGTAGGTGCTCAGAAGTTAAAACTTCAGATTGAAAAAAGAAGTGGTGAATATGAAAGTAATTGGAAGCCTGATAGAAGATCCCTTAATGACTACACAGGGCTTTAGTTAAGACTCATGTTGAGGTTCAGAATAATATTATAATAATTTGAGTGACTGCAATAAATTTTAAGGGTGAGAGTAATCCTCCTGCTATAGGGCACACTTTGACTGCCAGCTGGGAACAAGAAGTAAATTCACAAGTGGTACCACACAGAGACTGCAAAATTGGCCAAGTGCGATGTGTCTTGGATTTACATTTTTTGACATCTTTCTGAAACATCCAGAGTGACAGGAAACAGAAGACCAGACTGTGGCAGACTGTAGGCAACTCTGTTAAGACACTGTCTGACTTTGGATCATCCTAAGCCCTTCTCAGCACACATCATCATTAGGCCTTCTGCCTGGTGGGAGGTTTTGAGGTGCATGTCCCAGGGCACTCAGCATGCCTTGATATGTGTTCCGAAGCAGTCTTGCAGCACACAACCTGCAGTGCCTTCATGTGACACTAAATCAAGGCTGTGCCCCTACCACTAATGGGTGGTCAATCCATAGGATGAGCAGGATGGATGCTGGGTCTGCAGCACCGGTGGTATTGCTCTTCCAGTCCACTCAACAGGACCACACTGCTTGCCAGCGTCAGCAGTGCTTCTGTTCCCCTTGCACACAGGACAGGACCATGGCAACACTCCCACAGTGGGTGACAGAGGAGGGGACCACGGGGCCCTTTGTGCTGCCTTCTCACTGTGTGAGAGCCTTCATGTTGGCAGCAACTGCATTATTGGGATGTGCCTGTTCTGCCATCAGTGGGTTGGATAGGTATAGATGAGTGTTTTGATTTTACCTTAGCTTTGCTTTGATTTAAAGCAACTAGAACTTTTAAGCAACTAGAAAAATGACTGAATTTAAATTTATAAACTAAGAAACACTTAGAAGTTGTCTTTGTTTGATTAAATGATTGCTACTAAATAATTGATACTAAACTATCTGAAACTCTTCCCTTTGGATGGAAAGACAGTGGATCTGTTGGGGTTTTTCTACCTTCTTGTCAAGTGGGGATTTAAATGTAAATATTATTCATACATTTTAGTGGGCTTTTTCCATTGGATAGTTAAAAATATTTTTGTTTTCCCCTTATTTCTATATTGCTATGGCAGTACTCTGATGATCTGGAGTTCTTTGCTAGAGTTAGAAAGTTAAGGATATACACTGTTGTTTTGGACCAGTATATTCCTCCTTTTGATTCTGCTCTGACACTGCTTAAATACTGTGTTGAATTAGGACTTTTGTGAAATTGCTTCCCCCACATATCCAGTTCATGAGGACATCCTGCAAGTGACTCCTTGCATTAAGCTTCCCATGCAGTTTGAAGAGAAGATTTTTTTTTCTGCATGGTGAACATTATTTTCATTTAAGAAAATGTGAGGAGCTGCAGGCATCGTTTTTATTGGATTATTGTTCAAGCCCGTTACTGGGGGAGGCAGGTGGAAGAGGCTCAGTGAGAATTGTTTCCAGCTAAGAGTTCACTAGGAAGGCTTTAACTTTTCATGATTTGAGAACTGATTTAAAAGTGGAAAGTTCTTCTATGAAGGAGGGTCTTTTTGAAGATCTAAAATTCCAGCACAAGCACAAACCTTTTCTCTATTTTTTTCTGTTTTTCTAAAAGGAGGTTACTTGGTTGCAGGATACAACTAAATGTAGGCACTTTGTTCTGTCTGACTAATTTTGAAAAGAAAGCTTGTAAAAACCTTGATTTGCATGTTATCTTTAAACAAATAAACTTACTGTCCCTTCTCCTTGAACTCCTTCCCTGCACTGTGCTGAAAGTAGCAATTGGACTTTTCATTCTCTGAGTCCATCTTTTGCAACAAGTTTTATTCTGGTTGGGTTTTTAAAAAATAATTATTTATTTATTTCTCTTTCTGTGACACTTCTAAGTTTGAATGTCTGTGGAGTTTGTGATTTCCTGCAAATCATACTGAATTCCCGCCTGGTATTTAACACACTCATTGTGGGTTACGTAGTCTTGTACTTCATAATGGTTCTTTTCAGAGAAAGTAAAGATGTAGTCTTTGATCCAAGAGACTTACAGTTCAGATACTTTTACATTTTGTTGCCAGATCTGATGAACTTGAAAAAAAAAGTGCATTTTTAAATGGCCATGTGACCTTTTCCTGGAATTTTATTATTAGCTTCTTATGCCTTATGCAATGCATGAAATACTTAATAAATGGGGACAAAGAGAAAAGGAGAAAGTGATACGGATTTTGTTGATGTTTCTCTCCTTGTCTTTTCAGCAGCACTTTTCAGTATACACTAGAAGCTACCAAGTCTCTGCGTCAAAAGCAAGGGGAGGGGCCCATGACCTACTTGAACAAAGGACAGTTCTACGCCATCACCCTGAGTGAGACGGGTGACAACAAATGTTTCCGGCATCCCATCAGCAAAGTCAGGGTATGGTCCCATTTCTTTCCTAGGTGGGAATGAAGCTCTGCACATAGATGTAGTTGTGGTTGGTTGGCTTTTAATAATTTTGTTTTTCTTGTGGGAGGGGACAGAGCAAGCTTATTCTCATGCTCGATGTAAAGGTGGGAGAGCACCATACTGATGGTGGCAACAAATGTTTTGGGATCTAGTTTTTTCAGTGTGATCTTACGAGTTAATTATATACATATCTGCCTCAGTTTGTGGTTTGGCAGAATGATTATGACACAGAGACTGCACTTGGCACTGATGAACTTATCACTGCCACGATTAAAGTAAAGAAATCCAAGAACAGCTACATCTCCTTGTAGTCCACCTTTACTTGTGCACTTTATCAACTGCTTTCCAGTGCATTTCAGATAAAACATGAAGAGTTGACTCCATCCTTTGTGACATAAATTTTAAATCATTTACCTCGTATAAGTATGAGCTTTCACTTGATATTTACCCATAAGTATGACAAAACGAATGATTTGCATCTTAAATTCCATGGGGTGGGACTGGAGTTTGTGTATTTAGCAAAATCTACTTTAGGGAATGGGCCTCCTGATTGCCTTGGTAATGTTTTTGAATTAGCAAATCCTAACCCAGTAACCTTGGAATGAACAATGAGCTTCAGAGTTGCTGCCCTGTAAATTTTACCCTGGAGCTGGCAGGGCTGCATATGTATGAGGCTGTGGAAATGTTTCCATCCAAATAAAAAAAGTACTGTAAGAATGTTGTGACTTTAGTAAAAGGAACTGATGAAAGTCAGTGTGAACAGTGAAGCAGACAACAACTTGTATGTTTCTATCATACATAAAGTTTAGAGAGTCTCATCTTAAACAGAGGCAATGATTTGGAAACCTGGTGTCCTAGTTAGGACAGCTGAGATCAGTTCATCATGGTGGGTGTAACCCAAAACTGTATTCTATAGCCTTCCATGTCATTTCCCAGAAACTAGACTATTGTTGTCAATAGACTATTCGCACCCTCTGCCCATAGAGCATGGTGGGTGTAACCCAAAACTGTATTCTATAGCCTTCCATGTCA